TTTTTTTTTTTTTTTTTTGGAGTGGGAGTCTCCCTCTGCCCCCCAGCCGGGAGTGCGGTGGCCGCCCCCGGCCGCCGCAGCCTCGACCTGCTGGGCTCCAGCGATCCTTCCGCCTCCGCCTTCCGAGTCGCCAGAATTACAGGCGCGTGCTACCACGCCCGGCTGATTTTTTGATTTGTGGTCGAGATGAGGTCTTGCTGTTTTAAATTTATTGTAGAGATGAAGTCTCACCAAGTTGCCCAGGCTAGTCTTGAACCCGGGGACTCAGACAATCCTCTCACCTCAGCCTCCCAAAGTGCAGGGATTATAGTCGTGACCCCCTCCCCCCCCGCCTAGCTTTTCTGTCTTAATAAACCCCTGCTTTAAAAAAAAGACTTTTGAGGAACTGCCCATCATCCCATTTTACCTTCCCACCAGCAGTGCGTGAAGATTCCAGTTTCTCCCCATCGCCCATCACCCAGGTGTAGTAGACATGGTACCCAATACATGGGTTTCAGCCCTGACTCCCTCTTCCTCCCTTTCCACTTTAGGAGTTGTCCCCATGGCTGTTCCCACCCTTGTTCCCGTGTGCCTATAATGTTTAGCTCCTGCATATTAGGGAGAACATACGGTACTCAGTTTTTGGTTTCTATGCTGATTTGCTCAGGACGATGGTCTCTAGCTGCTTCCATGTTGCGGCAAAGGACATGATTTTGTTCTCTTTTATGGATGAATCACTTTTGAGTAAAGATTTAAATCATTCCTCCACATGATTAAGTTAGGGACTCTTAGGATTATAAGGAACGTTTGGAGACCAGCCATCCTGGCTCTGCTACTTCCTAAATGAATTTGACACTCCTGGGAGAAGCTCAGTCTAATAGCTAGGCCTTGATAGGGAGATCCGGGGTGCTATTAGCATATCATTTCCTGGTGAGAACCCAAAATGTACTGCCTTGTACTGAATTAAGTGTTGGTAGGGATTAAACTAGCATGGAAATGCTGATTTCAAGAGAGAGCTTCCAGGTACCTTATTCCCCCGAATAAAGGTTCCGGGAAAAGTCTGGCTACTCTTAGCATTAAAGTTAGGAGCCAGTTGATGAGGAAGAAACTTCTTAGCCAGCTTCCTGCCTGGCCTGTTGATGCCTCTGCCCGCTTCTCCTTCATACCCTCTTATTTCCCAGTCAGTGGAAGAAAGTTGCCAGCAACCTACCAAGCCTACCAAGCCTCGTCCTGTTTGAGGTAGAGAAGCCAGGCAATGTATTTTGTGATAAAAGATCCACATTCAGCTGGGCTCAGTGGCCCAGCCTGTAATCCCACGCCTTGGGAGGCTGAGATGAGTGGATTGCCTGAGTCCATGGGTTCGAGACCCACCTGGGCAACTTGGTGAGACCTCATCTCTACAATAAATCAAAAAATTAGCCGGGTGTGGTAGCACGCGCCAGTACTTCCAGCTAGTTGGAAGGCTGAGGCAGAAGGATCACTGGAGCCCAGCAGGTCGAGGCTGTGGTTGCTGGGAGTGGCCACTGCACTCCAGTCTGGGCGACAGAGTGAGACTCCAACTCAAAAATAAAAAAGATCTACATTCTTGCTGCTTTCTATAATAAAAGTATAGGGTATAGTAATGTATGTTAATTCTGTGCTTACACTGTTATGGTAACATTTTCCCGTTTGTAATTTTTTTTCTAGTTGCGGTTGCCAATTCCTATGCCTGTAAGGGGCTGGACAGGATCGAGGAGAGACTGCCTATCCTGAATCAGCCATCAACTCAGGTGAGCCAGGAACAAGTGCTGAGGCTTGTGGCATGCACGCCTGTGTTTATGTTCTGTTAGCGCAGGGTGAGCGTGCCACAAATGGGCAGATAATTATTTGTTCCTGCAGTCTGAATCTGGATGTATGTTTGAAAGAGTATTGGCTACTCCCTTACTTGCCTGCAGTATTTTCAGGTTGTGTTTGAGAAACTGAGAAGAACAGCCACCTTTGGACTAGAAAACTTTTAGTCTGATCTCCAGTTGTGTCTTTGCCCCGGCAGATGAAATTGCTCTCTCAAATAACTAATTTGCCTGTGGTGTTGGGTCAATGCAGAGGTGATTTATGGAATTTTCTCTCACCTGGCTTGGGGCAATGCTGACAGGGACGACCATCCATATGGGACAGCTAGTCAGTGTTGACAGAATGATAAACTCATCCACCCTGGTGATTGGTAGAGATAATGTCCTCAAATTTTCTTTCGAATTAATAATACAAAAGGGCACAGAATGGTTCTCGTGAAGGAAAAATGTGACCTTGTGTCTTTCATAATCCAAATATAGTCATGTTGCTTAATGATAGAAATACATTCTGAAAGCCAGGCTCGGTGGCTCAACCTGTAATCCCGCGCCTTTGGGAGGCTGAGGTGAGTAGATTGCCTGAGCCCGCGGGTTCGAGACCCGCCTGGGCAGCGAGACCTCATCTCTACAATAAATCAAAAAATCAGCCGGATGTGGTAGTGCAGGCCTGTAATTCTGGCTACTCGGAAGGCTGAGGTGGAAGGATCGCCGGAGCCCAGCAGGTGAGGCTGCGGTGGCCGGGAGCGGCCACTGCACTCTAGTCTGGGCGACAGAGTGAGACTCCGACTCAAAAAAAAAGAAAGAAAGAAATACATTCTGAGAAATGCATTGTGAGTCCGTTTTGTTGTTGTGTGTGAACATCTCAGGATACTTACACAAACCTAGATGGTGCAGTCTACTACACACCTAGGTTGTATGGTATAACCTATGGCTCTCAGGCTATAAGCATGTACAGCATGTTACTGTACTGAATACTCTAGGCAGTTGTAACGTGATGGTAAGTATTTGTGTATCTGAAGGTAGAAAAGGCATAGTAAAATTATGGTGCATACCAGGTGCGGTGGCTCACGTCTGTAATCTCAGTACTTTGGGAGGCAGAGGCAAGAGGATTGCCTGAGCCCAGGGTTTCGAGACCAGCCTGGTCAACTTGGTGAGACCTTGTCTCTACAATACATAAAACAATTAGCCGAACATGGTAGCATGCGCCTGTGTTTCCAGCTCTTTGGAGGGCTGAGGCAGAAAGATCATCTGAGGCCAGCAGGTCAAGGCTGCGGTGGCCATAATCGTGCCACTGCACTCCAGTCTGGGCGACGGAGTGAGACTCTGACTCAAAAAAAAAAATTTATATATATATGTGTGTGTATTTATATGACGTAAAGCAGTCATTTCAACCCTTTTGGCATCAGGGATTGGTTTTATGGAAGACAATTTTTCAACAGACGGGGGTGGATCATCAGGCATTAGATTTTCTTAAGGAGCACATGATCTAGATCCCTCACATGTGCAGTTCACAGTAGGGTTCGCACCCTTAGGAGGATCTAATGCCGCCACTGATCTGACAGGAGGCAGAGCTCTGTGCACCTGCTGCTTAACCTTCTTCTGTACCGCCCAGTTCCTAACTGGCTGCAGACTGCTACCAACCCAGGGGTTAGGGACCCCTGGTATAAAAGATAAAAAATGGTACGCCTGTACAGGGCACCTCCATTATAATCTTATGGGACCACTGTCAAATAGTCAGTCCATCGTTGACCAAAATGTCCCTAGGTGGCACGTGACTATAGATAGGTTTAGTGTACAGCCTGTAGAATGCTGGTGAACATCTCTTTGAATTTTTCACTTATGTTGCTTGAGACAATGCTAATGGTGAGCGTGAGAATTAATTTTTATTTTGGGTATTTTCTTTAAATTTTGGTGACTTGTATATAATATTAAAAGGCAAGTTACCTTATTTATAATTAGCAGATATGGTTGGGTTATTGAAAGCCAAAAGTTGTAGTAAATAATACTTTGGAGAAGATCTTCTCTTGAGGTATTAACAAATCATTTTTTTTTTTTTTTGAGAAAACAAGGTTTACTGAGAGGACAGAAAATCTTCCACAGTGGGAGGGAACCCAAAGGGGTTATCCAGCAAACAATTTAGAGAAGACTTTCTTGCCAGCATTCCCTGTGGCTATATGCCACCTTCACCCACTGTTCCCCCTGCAATGTGTCCTCTCCTTAACTTAGACAAATTACATGCTAATAGTGGGCCAAGTTTGGCTTGATCTTAGTTTCCTCGCTGGATTGATGTGACTTTGGAATGAGTTATATAAAAGCTGTATAATTTCATCAATAGGTAGTAAGTTAGCCAGGCTCGGTGGCTCAGCCTGTAATCCCGCGCCTTTGGGAGCCTGAGGTGAGTGGAT